TTTCTTTTGTACACCTCTGCGCATGTAAAATGAAATAATATTAGTTTTCAATTTATAACTGTGGCGATCAACGCCAACAATCAAACTAAATTCAGGTTACGAATCAAATTATCTATGGTATTGTATTGTACTGGCGAAATAAGTTTGTCAGTATTGATATGAAAACTCGTAAAAGTTTACGTTCGAGTTGTGAAATATAAATCCTGTGTTTCAGTGGTACGGCTGTCTTTCACTGGTACGACAGCAAGCAATTTTGTGAATAATAAAAGCGAATAAACATTTTTGTGGATAGTTCGTGTTGTGAAATATAAATCCTGTGTTTCACTGATACGGCAGTACACCACTGACATACGCCACATCCCTGGAAAAGACAACGTTGTCGCGGATTTACTTTCTCACATCGAGAGCATCACGGGCTGCGAGCAAATCAGTTTTGAAGATTTAACTTAAGATCAAAAAACCGATGTAGAATTGAATGATTTTTTGAAGAACAACGACTCCGCACTTCAACTTAAGCTAGTTAATATTCCAAGCACGGCAAGTACTATTGTATGTGATGTTGCTACCAAACATGTACGACCATTCATCACAAAAGGTTTTCGCCAGTAAGCTTTCAATTCGGTGCATAATTTAGCTGATCCGAGTAAGCGTTCAACCATCAAGCAAATTAGTGAGCGTTTTGTTTGGCCGAATATGAAAACAGACATCGCCAATAGGGTAAAAACTTGTATTGCATGCCAAAAGTCCAAAATTTCCTAACACAACAGATCTGCAATCGATAATTTTGCAGTGCCGGACAAGCGTTTTTCATGGATACATATCGATTTGGTGGGACCACTGCCGATTTCAAATGGTTACCGTTACTGCATGACAGTCATCGATCGTTTCAGCCGATGGCCTGTTGCCGTTCCCATTGAGGATATCTCCGCAGATACGGTAGCAAGGGCTTTGGTTAACGGGTGGATAGCGTTTTATGGCGTACCAGCGAAAACACGACAGATCAGGGTAAGCAGTTTGAGGCAAAACTTTTTAACGAGCTAGCACAAGTCATGGGCGCCAAATATATTCGGTCAAGCCCACGACATCCGCAGGCAAATGGTTTAATGGAACGTTTCCACCGAACTATGAAGGCAGCAATTAAATGTCAAGACATCGAACGTTGGACCGAAGCATTGCCATTGGTTATGCACGCGCTACGCAATGTTTACAAAGACGATATAAAAGCAACACCGTCAGAGATGCTATATGGGACGACGCTGAGAATGCCTTGCGATTTCTTCGAAGAAATCGGTTACAATAGTTCAGAAACCGAATTTGTCAAACAATTACGAGAAATGATGGACAAAGTTCGACCCGTTCCTACATCTAACCATGCCAACAAGAAAGTTATCGCTCAAAAAGATTTGCAGGCGTGCGCACATGTTTTTCTGCGCAACGATTTGGTTCGGAAGCCGCTAAAAACACCCTACGACGGACCTTATGAAGTTTTAAACCGGAACGACAAAACTTTCGAAATTAAAATCGGAGAGCGTAAAGTTCGTGTAAGCATCGATAGGCTTAAAGCAGCATTTCTTCTCATTAACGACGAGTTACTTTCAAACGACGCCTCGTTGGAAGCAAAAGATCATACAGCGAACCCTACGATCAAGATTCAGAGGGAGCAGCCTAAAAAAACAGATGGCAAAAGCGACGAACCAAAGAGGACAGGAAGCGGAAGAATTATTCAGAAGCCAAAAATGTAACTTTTATTAGTATTTAAATTAGTATTTTTTTCGTGCCTTTTCTCTGCCATTTAAGTCACTGGTAGGGGAGTAATGTAGCGATCAACGCCAACAATAGAACTAAATTCAGGTTACGAATCAAATCATCTATGGTATTGTATTTTTAAAACTGGCGAAATGAGTTTGTCAGTATTGATATGAAAACTCTTAAAAGTTTACGTTACGAGTTTGTAATGCATAAGAAATCCGATCTGGTAGCACCATTGTCATTAAGAAGAAGGTGCAAGAAAAAAGGAAGAATTATTGAGATAGCAGAGAGGCGACACGTATTTTTAATAAGCAAGCATTTTTGTGAATAATAAAAGCGAATAAACATTTTTGTGGATATTTCGAGTTGTGAAATATAAATCCTGTGTTTCACTGGTACGACGCCCACATCACAGTGTACAGTAAACCAGCAATTGACAATATGCTTATTTGAAAATTAATACATGAAATATTGTGCATGTATGGGATTATTTTGTCATTAACCCATAGGCAACTGGTGCAAAAGTACCCCCAAATGTTTGTTGATGTATTTGAAATGTAAATTTTAACAGCGAAATTCGTAAAAAAAAATAATAAAACAAAAATATTGTTGAGTTTACGG